GGGTAGACGACTAATTTTTATTTTAATGTCCGTCTGGTAGATTATTTTAAATCATTAGACACGTATTTTTTATTTTCTTACAGAAACGAATACTTTCGACGATATATTGATTTGAAATGTCGCGTGACGTCACTTCTATGTACATTTTATACGTAGAAATGACGTTTTAGCCCCCACTCCTAAACTTTGATTCGTTTTATCTAAGTATTGTTTTATTATACGACAAAATAAAAAAATACGTGTCTAATATTTTTAATTACATAACTTACGGACTAATTAGGTTTTTAATTTTCATACCCTGTCGACATCCCAATTTTAAGCTTAGTTTTAGTAGGTATTTTCTAGCTATCTAGCTAACATAAAAAATCAATAGAAAATTTGTCATTTTACTATTTGAAAAACGCACCTAATAAAGTATATAATTAGATTTGTTAGAACTTGGAAAGTACTTTATTCGTTAAAAAAACATAATCAGGTAAGTTATAGATTTTTAAACATTTTATTGTTAATTCCAGGTGTGGATCTACCAGGTAATGGCAAATCGGACAGGCTACCACCAGGCCTGATGATCAGTGTGTCGGACATGGCATACGCTATCAATGTCGTAGCTAAACATTTCAGATGGAAGAAATTCACTTTTATTGGACATTCATTTGGAGCGTTTCTAGGTAAGATATATAATTTAATTGACAGGACCTGGGTCCTTACTCTTGAAACCAATCTCAATGTCAATGCAATTTGAATCCAATAAAATCTCAATAATTATTCAATGTCTAAACTATACAAACCTTATCGTAGCTGTTGAAATAGCATTAAGAGTACGAAATATAAAGCCAAACTCAATACCATTTAGTTCATTAAATATCCACGCAATACGAATGCAATGGGCGCTAGTGTTACAACTCAAGAGTACGAAATTTCGCAATACCAATGTCGATCGATCAGAATTGGATTCAAGAGTAAGTGCCCTGAATTGTCTTGTTGGCCGAGTGATCGCAATTGCGACTGCTGGGCAAGAGGTCTCGGGTTCGATTCACAGGTCGGGCAAAGTATTACTAAGTTTCAAAAAAAAATCTCAGTAGTAGCACGGAGTCTGGATCTGTGCCCGGTATATAGCAATAAGCTCACCCCCTATTACATGGGACTCATAACATATATAGTGAAAAGTGGGTGTTACATTGTACAGTGGTATAATGTGCACCTCTGCCTACTCCTTCGAGGATAAAAGGCGTGATGTTATATTTTTTATGTAATTAAATATTATGCAACATGAATATGTAATATAATTTAATGACAAATAAACTACTAACGATACGTACCATTTTTTTCGTTGGCCTTTTTTCGTTGACTTTCAGAAAACGCCTAAAAATGCATGGAGCCGTAATGATCTCCTTTTGTTTATATAATTACAGGTCAGAATTTCAACTTGTTTTATCCAGGAAGGGTGAATAAATTGATCAACTTGGACCCCATCAATTTCTTTGCGATACCACCCCAAGACTTCGCTAGATGGTACGTATGCATTGATTATAATTAATTAATATTTATCTTATCTAATAATCGCGGGTTACTCACGTGAATATACTGAGACAAGCTCTACTAGTTTCGAACCACAGAGGGGTTCTTCCTCATGAGCAGCGTCGTGAAGATGGTTCTGATGATCTCTGTGGTTCGAAACTAGTAGAGCTTTTCTCAGTATATTCACGTGAGTAACCCGCGATTTTTAGTTAATTTAGTATGTCTCACGATAGTTATAATAAAAATAATATCTACCTATGTACAAAATATAACTCCCGTTGCTGACTGACTGACTGATTGACTGACTGATTGACTGACTGACTGACTGACTGCTTGACTGACTGGCTGACTGACTGCTTAACTGATTGCTTGACTGACTGACTGACTGACTGACTGACTGGTAAGCATAAAACGATGATTTTTAAAAGGGTAACGATGGAATATCTTGCTTGTTCTTCTCCATTCGAAACTAAACTTTGGGACGAGCGCCGAGCTTCACTGACGGACGGACGGACGGACAATTCAAGTTTGAAGTTTCAAAAGGATTAATTGAAATAAATGCTCAAATTCAAAGCAATTCTCCCCTAGGAAAGGTCATCAAAAGACTTTTTAACCGACTTCAAAAAAAAGCAAGTTGGCATTTCGACCTGTATAAGAATAAGAATAAGAATAATTTATTTAGCAAAACAAAGGACAAGTATACCTATTATTTAACAGAATGCGATAATGAATACATAGAAATCACAATCACAATTGCAAAGTAGACCAAAAAATACTAGTTTATCATGTACTAGCGACCCGCCCCGGCTTCGCACGGGTGCAATATGCATGTATTATACATACAAACCTTCCTTAAGAATCACTCTATCTATTAAAAAAAACCGCATCAAAATCCGTTGCGTAGTTTTAAAGATCTAAGCATACATACGGACATACAGCGAAAGCGACTTTGTTTTATACTGTGTATTGATGTATTGATACATACAAGTTAACATAAGCAGTGGCATTTCTGTAGTATCAATAATACACAGCAATCATATAATACACCTTGCAAACAAAAGTAATTTAACTCAGTAATTCACAAGACAATAAGTTTGATACCAAAAGTGTAATAAATGTCCACAGACGGTATACGTAGATTTTTTACTTTACCTCCCGTGCTAGTCAAAGACTGTTACGGCAAGGTAAGATTCTCGCTCGAAAGTATGTATGTATGTGCTCGAGTGTATCTCACGATTGGCTGAACCGATTTTGGTGCTGTTTTCAGAAAAGTGTTTGTTATATAACTGCCTCGTTGGCCGAGTGGTCGCAAGTGCGACTTGCCGGGCAAGGGGTCTCGGGTTCGATTCCCGGATTGAGCAAAGTATTACTGGGTTTTAAAAAAAATCTCAGTAGTAGCACGGAGTCTGGAATTGTGCCCGGTATATGGCAATAGGCTCACCCCCTATTGCATGGGACTCATAACATAAATAGTGAAAAGTGGGTGTTGCATTGAAAAGTGGCATAATGTGCACCTCTGCCTACCCCTTCGGGGATAAAAGGCGTGATGTTATGTTTGTAAGGTTTTGTTATATTATATTAATTACCGACTTTTAAACAAGAGGGAGTTGAAGGCGGCTTTGTTAGCACTACTACTGTTACTGTTAATGAATTATATTTTTTAGTCACAAACTCATTTTTTCAGGTACCACTCGCGTTTCACAGACTTCTACAAGAATTATGAAAAATTTAACACTCCAGTGAAAAATGGACCGAAGGTCAAGTGGACAGAGGTGAGGTTCAATAAGGGGAGGGCTAAATATTTATATTACAAGCTTGTATTCAATTTGCATTGTATATGTGGGCGCGCGCGATCGCTCGTGTGTGTGTATGTGTGTGTGTGTGTGTGTGTGTGTGTGTGTGTGTGTGTGTGTGTGTGTGTGTGTGTGTGTGAAATAGAATCTGGCAACTGAATTTCAATTATTAATTGAGCTGAAACTTTGTATAGACGAAGTTTGAATGTCGTGGTGGCCCTGAGGTTTAAGACTCCCGCTTCTAATGCATAAGGATCATCATCAACAGCTTATAAATGCCCACAGCTGAGCAAAGCCCCTTTTCACACGGAGAAGGTTTGAGCATTAATCACCACTGACGCTTGCTCAATGCGGGTTAGCGATTTCAAACTTATAATTAGAAATTTTAAGCCCAGGTTTCCTCACGATGTTTTCCTTCACCGTTTGTCAGTGGTGTCTAAATAATCTTAGAAAGTACATATAACTCGGAAAAAGTCACATTGGTACAATTGCCGTTGGTAGGTTTCGAACCTGCACTCTCGTGCATGAGAAGCGGGCCTTCACGACCGTGATAGGTGACAGCATAAGGATGCGGTGTCGAAATTTAGCAACGGCAAGCACCTGCCTTTTTCTGATTTATATTATACTTTCTACGATTATTTAAACACCACTGACAAACGGTAAAGGAAAACATCGTGAGGAAACATGGGCTTATAATTTCTAATTATAAGTTTGAAATTGCTAACCCGCATTGAGCAAGCGTGGTGATTAATGCTCAAACTTCAGTCTGAGATGAAGCCTTTGGTCATCAGTGGTCACTTATAGGCTGTTGATATTTTGTGTATATAACTAACCTAACTATGAATGTGTGTATGTGAGCGTGTGTGTATGTGTGAAACAAGTGAATTTATTTCTGCAAATAGGCTACAAGGCAGCACTTTTACACGTCAATTTTATCAAGCGAACGATGAGGTCGACATTTCCTAACTGACTACTCTGAGAAGAAATGCTGAAACAAACTCAGAGGTCTGTCTCTTTTGTGTGTGTGTATGTTTGTGTATATGTGTGTGTATGTGTGTGTGTGTGTGTGTGTGTGTGTGTGTGTGTGTGTGTGTGTGTGTGAAGTGGAATCTTGTAATTAAATTATAAGCAGATATGTTCAACCAATTGAGCTAAAATTGTGCATATACGTAGTTTCTGTAAAAGCTTCTAAAATAAATTTTTATTTAATTTTTTCATGTCCAACAGGCGTTACAGTCGTTAAGAAGTAACCGTCCAAGTTTGAGTGAGGAACAGGCGACTGCAGTATTGAATAGATTATCCGAACCGGCTGGAGATGGACATATCAGGTAAACTCATTGTCATGCTCACTCAAAGGTCTCTTTGGCGGTGGTGCGTGCAGTGGATCGCTCGATTCCCTACAATATGGTTGAGTTGGGCGGTGCTGGTGTACGTGTCATGTTCGTGAACGGGCGCCGTCAACTGGGACGTGTCAGCTCCAGACTGTATTATTTATTGTCTATAAGGTTGCTTTTTCGATCTCTTTGACTGGATTTTAGTGTTACATTGTTCTCGCACAATCCAAACAATAAAACTATGTAACTAGAGAATTGTATTGTGACAGGTTCACAACACAATTCACTAAAATTATTGAAGAAGAAGTCAGATGAATCAATATTAATTTAATTTTCAATATTAATTTTTTTTTTATTTTATTTTGCAGATACACGTACGACTTACGCATAAAATTGATGCATGGACCAGCATTTTCGCCGGAACACGTTAAAAAATTATTTACCAGTCATGATACACCGATATTAACAGTTGCATGTCAAAATTCCATTGATAAGGAACTTTTTCGAAACACGGCCTTTTTGCTCGACGAGGCTGAATATCCGTCAAACAATTTCCGTTTTAGATCTGTGATCGGAGACCATGATGTTCATATTTCGAATCCTGAAAGAGTGGCTGTCTATGTCAGCCAGTTCCTACTCTATGGTTTGGAGGGCATGGACAATAAGGCTAAGTTATGATTTGTGAATGATTTTGTTTATGACAGCGGTGAAAAATAAATAAATAGATAGAGTCTGGCAAACGAAAGTAGAGACTGAAAAAGCCCGGCAAATTTAAAAAATATCGGTATAGCAACCCAAAAATTAATATGTCATACCTGGAGTAACCAGACGTGAAGACGTAACAAACAAACAAATTATTATAAAGTATCAAATTAGGTTACTCCAGGTATGACATACTAATTTTTGGGTTGCTATACTGATATTATTTAAATTTGCCGGGCTTTTTCAGTCTCTACTTTCGTTTGCCAGACTCTAGGTAAATATTATGAAGGAAGGTTATAGTGTTTAAATGTCACATTACAATCAATAGGAGCCGAGCAGAGTGGGTGAAACCGCGCGGATGTAGGTAGGTAGTGTAATAATACTTGCAGTCAACGAAAACAAAAACTGTGTCATGTTTATATGCGTTTTCGAAAGCATTCTCCTTACACTCAGTATAAAATTGCAGCTTTATCAATTAAAACGAACAGTCAATTATATTAAGCCTTGCCCGAAGAGTTACATGGGGCCCAACAGGGCCGATGCCGATTCGGAGTCGCGGAGAACCTAACGGGTTACCGGGGCTCCGACTCGACGTGCAGGAGAAGGAACGGGGTGGTTTTTAGTCAGTAAGAGTCTGACACTCCCGCCTCACCCAGGCGGGAGCAGTCATTCGATGATTTTACCCCTTAAAAAAAAGCCCGAAGAGTTTTGAGCTGACTTGAACAGTATCAAGGTCGGTATAGAGTCACAATAAAATAAGGTATTTTTACAAGAAAAATGTTTCGAGTATTTTAATATTGTTATTTAAAATATCTATGGGGGCTAACGACTTTTTGCTCACCACATGGCTCGATAGTCAAATATTAAACATCTAATGTTGTAAATACTAACCTATTGGGTACTTTCCTTAATCAAAAATATATAATTTCGAAAAAATAATCACACTTTCATTAATTGGATAGTTTCCAGGGTAAGAAAATTAAAAATCTAATTAGTCCGTCAGTTGGATAATGAAAAAGTATTAGACACGTATTTTTTTATTTTCTCGTATAAAGTTACAATACTTAGATAAAATGGAGTTAAGTTTAGGAGTGGGAGGTCGTTCCGTCACAACGTGCTACATTTTGTTGCACGCTGTGACATATCACGACATTTCGAATCAGTATATCGTCGAAAGCATTTCATTTTGCGAGAAAAGAAAAAATATGTGTCTAATGTTTTAAAATAATCCACCAGACGGACATTAAAATAACATTTAGGAAACTACCCTATTGATTTTATGACCAACTTAATTTTAGTATTTTTCCAGCAAATTTTTAAGACGTGAGTGTTGTTTATCGCTGAAAAACGTGACGTCACAATACACAATCTCGTACAAAATTCATAGAAAGCTGTCGTTTTTGACAGTTAGATCCAATTTCCTATTGGACGAAGAACGACAGGAGCACACTAGCGCCATCTATTGAGCAAAAATACGGTAGGCCCCATTATACCAACTTAGTGCAATTAAAAAGTCAATTATTAAGATAAAATATAATCTTTTTATCAGTACATAGAAGGAATTGCTTAATTTTATTAAACTATATATATACACGGTTATATATACGGTGTAGAAATATATGTTTGTCTGTATTTACGTCCCTTATTTTTATTGGGTTACGGATTTTACCTCTACTGTATTTAATAATAAATTATACATTTTGTAACGTAACTTGACGCCTTTTATTATTGGTGTTTTGCTATATTTTACCTGCCTCAGGTATCAAACTGGAGATTTTTTAAGTCCTACTAGAGAAAAGGGGGTGTTATAATGGGGTAGATGACTAATTTTTATTTCAATGTCCATCTGGTAGGTAGATTACTTAAAATCATTACACACGTACTTTTATTGTTTCGAAGATATATTGATTTGAAATGTCGCGTGACGTCACTTCTATGTACATTTTATACATAGAAATGACGTTTTAGCCCCCACTCCTAAACATTGATTCGTTTTATCCAAGTATTATTTTATGATACAACAAAATAAAAAAATACGTGTCTAATATTTTTTCATTACCTAACTTACGGACTAATTACATTTTTAATTTACATACCCTGTCATCATCCCTATTATTAGTAAAATTAATATCTGTACTTATCCTGTCGGAAAATAAAAGGCGTAATGTTCATTGATATATATAAAAGGAATATGAATATAGATGTAAGATAACAATTTTTTTTTTTAGTAAATACCTGTTTTTTTTTAAAGTCTATTACTCACTTTTAATTATATATTTTACTAGAATTAAGCTTTGTAAAACAGATTAAGTCTGCCGCCGTACTGTTACGGAGTTTGGATTTAGAGTATTGAAACAAGTGAAACAAGTGAATTTATTTCTACAAATAGGCTACATTGAAAATAAACTTGAAATATTGAAAACTGCCTCGTTGGCCGAGTGGTCGCAAGTGCGACTGCCGGGCAAGGGGTTTCGGGTTCGGTCCCCGGGTCGGGCAAACTATTACTGGGTTTTTAAAAAAAATCTCAGTATTAGCATGGTGTCTGGAAATGTGCCTGGTATATGGCAATAGGCTCACCCCTTATTACATGGGACTCATAACATAAATAGTGAAAAGTTGGTGTTACATTGTACAGTGGCATAATGTGTGCCTCTGCCTGCCCCTTCGGGGATAAAAGGCGTGATGTTATGTTATGTTATTGAAAATGTCACATATTGAAAATAAACTTGATTTATTCACTTAAAAGACATTTATTGTCCAAAATACAGAATAGATTGGTAACTATTCGCAATGACGTATAATAAAACAAAATAAAAAAAAATCAACACTACTTAATTGGGTGCTTTTATTCATCAAAAATAAATTATTTCGACTGTTCAATACAAGAAAATATTAAAAAATAATCACACTTTCATTAATTGATTTTATGACCAACTTAATTTTAGTATTTTTCCAATATATTCTTTTTGACGCTAAAAAAACGTGACGTCACAATTCACAATCTCGTACAAAATTCATAGAAAAGTATCGTTGTTGACAGTTCGAAAAAAGTATTGAATTTGACTAGTTGGCAAGTAGATACACAATTGAAAAGCATCGTTACACGTGAAAGGATCGTTATTGTTTTATATGCTTAATGTAGAATTCCGATATAACAGCACCCTTCAACTTGATACTTAGCATCGGAACCGGATTTAACCCGTTGAAATCCATCCCCTAAATTTGGTCATACAAAAGTAGTCTCTAAACATTAGAAATAAGGTCTATAATGTAATGTAATATTAGTGGAAAGCGGTCACCGGTGACCGCTTGGCGATTTATGGGTCTCGTCGAGTACCGTCATTATAGACACAATTATAGAACAATAGGTTGCGGTTACCGGTGTCCGCTTAGTGTTTGACAGTTTAAACCTACAGAGCGCCCTAGGAAAGCATTTCATTGGCGCCCGTATTTTTTTTTTGGCGCCGCTGTCTACGCGCTTCTCGCGACGCCTCTGTAACCTGGCGCCCTTGACTTGCCTTGTGTATCTTAATGATAATACGGCTCTGGTTAGCATCATATTTAGGCCCGATTATTCCAACGCCAAATAAATTTTACCTAAGGAATATTTGACAATTCTTCTATAAAACTTACTATGTATAAGTTTAAAAAAAATGTCAATAGTAGCACGTAGTCTGGAATTGTGCCCGGTATATGGCAATAGACTCACCCCCTATTACATGGGACTCACAACTAGTAAAAATTTGGATGGTACATTGTATAGTGGCATTAATTACCGTAATGTGCACCACTGCCTATCCCTTCGGGGATAAAGAACGTGAAGTTATGTGTCTTCCATACAAAAAAATGTCAATTGTCAATTTTATTCTACAGTTCAGAATTAACTGAATTTACAATTTATTTGGCGTTAAAAAATCGACCCTTAGTTTCATAACGAATGTACGGTGGCCAGTAAACCAACCTCTCCTGTTCTGTAAATTTTCTTTACCTATTACATCTTCAACTTTATACTATTGACATAAAGTCGAGAATCCCATTAATAAATTTACAGATTTAAGTACGTTAATCTGCTGGCTATTGTACTAACTAGAAGAAGACAATAAAATCATTCCCTTGTCAATGCATTTTGTACTTAAAATAGATATAAATAAAGTCATGTTTTTACACTTTTTTCCTGTATTATATTTTTACTTAAACGATTTTTAACAAATTTGATATGAAATATCTACTATAATGCTGTTTTTTTAACATAATATCTTTGATAATAATATTTTCCTTTATTACCAAAAGAGTACCTACAATTTATTGCAGTATTTTTTTATGGCATAAGTTGGTCAACGAGCAGACGGATCACCTGATGGTAAGCAATCGGTGCCCGTCGTCGCCCATGGACACCTGGAACACCAGAGGCGTTACAAGTGATTTTGGGGATTAGGATTTTGAGGATCGTTGGGTATTCAGGAATTGGGGAGATTGAGTAAGGGGAGGGTAATTGGGTCTCCGGTAACCCCACCCACACGACGAAACACAACGCAAGCGTTGCTTCACGTCGGTTTTCTCTGAGACCGCCTATCACTCCGGTCGAGCCGGCCCATTCGTGTCGAAGCTTGGCTCTCCCACACTTAGTTGAATCAAAAACATTGGTAGGTATCGAATTGGGAACTTCAAAAACCTAATAAATACCGCTGCTTCTCAAAATCTTAAAATAGCGCACTGATAACTAATTATAGTTCTACTAGAATCTTGTGGAATCTAGATTATCTACTAATTGGAAAAAATGCTTTTTTGCTTTGCCGCTTATTAAGATTTTTATAATTATATTTTGACATGTAATGTTTACGAAGTTAGTAACAGATCACGCATGTAAAAAGAATAGAGTATTTTACTTAATGCTTCGCTAATAGAAATCATTTTATGAAGTAGATATTAATTGTTGAGTCCTTCCAAATTTTAAATTAGGTACTCGAAAATTGACGAAACGATTTAGAATACTTTCTGTGCTACTGCAAAGGTAAGGTCATATAATAATAAAGACGATCTTCATAAACAGCATTGTGAATGTCATCGTAATGTCAAAATA